AAGCACAAGTACATTTCAGCCGTTATTCAGAAAAGACACACAGTAAGAAACCAAATTTTCTAGTATTATTCATCCATCATGAATAATGTTATTACTATGAATGCATTATGTAAGCTGTATTTTATTTTCTTTTTTTTTTTTTTTTTTTTTTTTTTTTTTTATATTTATTTTTTTTTTTTTTTTTTTATTTTTTTTATTTTTTTATTAATGTTATGATAGATTACAACCTTGTGAGATTTCAGTTGTACATTTTTGTTAGTCATGTTGTGGGTACACCACTTCCCCCTCTGTGCCCTTCCCCCACCCCCCCTTTTCCCTGGTAACCACCGATCAGATCTCCTTATCAATCTACTAATTTCCACCTATGAGTGGAGTCATATAGAGTTCGTCTTTCTCTGACTGGCTTATTTCGCTTAACATAATACCCTCGAGGTCCATCCACGTTGTTGTGAATGGGCCAATTATGTCTTTTTTTATGGCTGAGTAGTATTCCATTGTGTATATATACCACATCTTCTTTATCCAATCATCAGTTTCTGGGCATGTAGGCTGGTTCCACATCTTGGCTATTGTAAATAATGCTGCGATGAACATAGGGGTGCAACGGACTCTTGAGATTTCTGATACCAGGTTCTTAGGATAGATACCCAGTAATGGGATGGCTGGGTCATAGGGTATTTCTATTTTTAACTTTTTGAGAAGTCTCCATACTGTTTTCCATAGTGGCTGTACCAGTTTGCATTCCCACCAACAGTGTATGAGGGTTCCTTTTTCTCCACAACCTCTCCAAAATTTGTCACTCTTGGTTTTGGATGTTTTTGCCAATCTAACGGGTGTAAGGTGATATCTTAGTGTAGTTTTGATTTGCATTTCCCTGATGATTAGCGATGATGAACATCTTTTCATGTGTCTATTGGCCATATTCATATCTTCTTTTGAGAAATGTCTGTTCATGTCCTCTGCCCATTTTTTGATCGGGTTGTTTGTTTTTTTGTTTTTAAGCAGTGTGAGTTCTTTGTATATTATGGAGATTAACCCTTTGTCGGATAAGTGGCTTGTAAATATTTTTTCCCAATTAGTGAGCTGTTTTTTTGTTTCAATCCTGTTTTCCCTTGCCTTGAAGAAGCTCTTTAGTCTGATGAAGTCCCATTTGTTTATTCTTTCTATTGTTTCCCTCAACTGAGGAGTTACAGCGTCCGAAAAGATTCTTTTGAAACTGATGTCAAAGAGTGTACTGCCTATATTCTCTTCCAAAAGACTTATTGTCTCAGGCCTAATCTTTAGGTCTTTGATCCATTTTGAGTTTATTTTGGTGTGTGGTGAAAAAGACTGGTCAATTTTCAATCTTTTGCATGTGGCTGTCCAGTTTTCCCAGCACCATTTGTTGAAGAGACTTTCTTTTCTCCATTGTAGGCCCTCTGCTCCTTTATCGAAGATTAGCTGTCCATAGATGTGTGGTTTTATCTCTGGGCTTTCAATTCTGTTCCATTGAGCTGTGGACCTGTTTTTGTACCAGTACCATGCTGTTTTGATCACTGTAGCTTTGTAGTATGTTTTGAAATCGGGGATTGTGATTCCGCCGGCTTTGTTTTTCTTGCTCAGGATTGCTTTAGCAATTCGCGGTCTTTTGTTGCCCCATATGAATTTTAGGATTCTTTGTTCAATTTCTGTGAAGAATGTTCTTGGGATTCTGATTGGGATAGCATTGAATCTGTATATTGCTTTAGGTAGTATGGACATTTTAACTATGTTTATTCTTCCAATCCATGTGCAAGGAATGTCTTTCCATCTCTTTATGTCATCGTCAATTTCTTTCAAGAAAGTCTTGTAGTTTTCATTGTATAGATCCTTCACTTCCTTGGTTAAGTTTATCCCAAGGTATTTTATTCTTTTCGTTGCGATTGTGAATGGGATTGAGTTCTTGAGTTCTTTTTCTGTTAGTTCATTGTTAATGTATAGAAATGCTACTGATTTATGCACGTTAATTTTATACCCTGCTACTTTGCTGTAGTTGTTGATTATTTCTAATAGTTTTTCTGTGGATTCTTTGGGGTTTTCTATGTATAAGATCATGTCGTCTGCAAACAACGAGAGTTTTACTTCTTCGTTACCTATTTGAATTCCTTTTATTTCTTTTTCCTGCCGAATTGCTCTGGCCAGCACCTCCAGTACTATGTTGAATAGGAGTGGAGAAAGTGGGCACCCTTGTCTTGTTCCTGTCCTCAGTGGGATGGCTTTCAGTTTTTGTCCATTGAGTATGATGTTGGCTGTGGGTCTATCATATATGGCCTTTATTATGTTGAGGTACTTTCCTTCTATACCCATTTTACTGAGGGTTTTTATCATAAATGGGTGTTGGATCTTGTCGAATGCTTTCTCAGCATCTATTGAGATGATCATGTGGTTTTTGTTTTTCATTTTGTTGATGTAGTGTATCACGTTGATTGATTTGCGGATGTTGAACCATCCCTGTGTTGCTACGGTATTATTTTATTTTATTTTTCTATGTTTAAAGATATTTTATTATAGAAAATCTCAAATACACCCAAAAGGAGAGAGAATAGTACATTATACCCCTATGTACCAATCCCTAAGGTGGGATTAATATTATGAATACTACTAATAATATAAAATGCACTACAAAGTATAAAGTGCTGTCAAAATGTAAGGACAGAAACACCATGACACTGATGCCCTTTTGCCTGAGACACACAGCACATTCACACAGACACTCATGGGAAAGTTACCAGGACAAGGACATCTTGGCTTTGACTCTGATTCTTGTTCAAGCTATGCAGCCTGGTTCCAGAGTTTCTCTTGGAGTTCTTCTGCTGCCGTCTCTGGAATGCCCGCCTGGCCTTCTGCAGCTCTCCTGTCATGTACACTTCAAAACTGCTGGTTAGTGTCTTGGTTTTAACATCTTCATCAAGATCCCAGACATCTTCAAGTGTCAGAGGGTGCCTGTAGCCTTTCAGAACAGTGCTGGAACAAGAGTGATCCACAGGGTGAGACCCTACAGGCTGGGTCAGAGGCTGTCTCCTTGCTGCCTCAATCAAAACCCATCCAGTTCTGGGATGGAAGGACAGAAGGAGGTGACTTCTCCCTTGCCCCACTATGCCATCTCATGATCTTCTGAACTTGAAAGAGGAGTGGAGAGAGCAGAAAAGGGAGCAGGTGGGGGTGACGGAAAGTAGGAGAAGACAGCAAGAGAAGGGAATGGGAAGGGCACTACTGAATTAAAAGCCAAAAGAGCATCACCTCCCCCATTCCTGCTCCTTCCTTCTCAAACACTGGCTACCTCTCTGACACTCTGGCTTGCCCTTAAGGAACTGAGCAGAACTGGAGGCCGCCTCTATACTGTCTCTGTACACCAGGATCCTCAACCTGGGATTTAAGAACATGGATTTTACTAGCTTCTTAACTGAAATTTAGCCTTTCCTTTTCATATGAGTATAGGCAACCAACTACAGTTGTAAAAAGGAATACCTGTGCCTTTGTCAATAGGAGACATCACAGATATTTTGACGGTTCATTTAAACTCATCACTACTTTGAAATTATGGTCATCATTAGATCCCTCACTAGATCTTGTTATTTAATGCAGTAATAAAGAAGCACATGTATTACCATATCATAAATTTGGTGTTTTAAAAAATATTTTGGTAACCATATTTCAATCTATTAGGGTTCTGTTATAATCTTTTATTTTATGCACTCACAACATTATCTGAGAAGGGATTCATGCGTGTTACCAGCCCACCAAGGGGTCCATGGAACTACAAAGGCCAAGGAGGCCTGCTTCAGATCCTCTGGTAGCCCAGGCCAGCTAGTTCATCTCTTACCCGACAAATCTGTGCCACACTCCCTGCCCCCAAATTTCCCTTTTCCTGTCCCACTGCCTTCTGTTCCTACTGTCCTTCCTTTTCTCCATGGAACCCCCAGGCTACCAAGAGCAAATCTCCCCCATCCTCTCCTCAGAATTCCAAACTGCCCAAGGAAGGAACTAAATTAAATTGATCTGTAAGTTTTAACATTCTCTGACTCTGGAAGAGAAATGGAGGCCACAGGAGGAATTTTTAAAAATTAAGATTTCCATCACTTTCAGAAGAGTGAGGGGGTAGGGATATACATAACTCATACTCCAGGCATTTCTTACCTGTCATACCAACTAAAGGTAATGCTACTCAGAAAAGAAGCAGTGGTTGATGGATTCTGTAAGACACACAAAAAATCAGAAAGTAAATCAATTAGAAACAGGAACTCTATGGAACTCTAAAATTAGAAACTGATTTTTCTAGATATGATGTTGTGCTAGAAACTAGATACGATACTGAAGTAGGCTGGACAACATATATTTATTTGGAAACCCTAAGGTCACCAATAGAATGATGATCAGATTTTTTGTCATAAAAGTATGAATTAATTGTCTAGGCTGAAGATGGGTGGGTCAATGTAAAAAAGTCATTATTTCCATACGCGGGTCACCTTCTGTTTCCTTATGTCATAAAATGGTCTATACTACTGTATTCTGGGCTCGTGGGGCCTCCGTGAGACCTAGACATATCAAAGTCACATTTGTTAAGATACCATCCAATTAAATAATGTATGAGGTGGGCATATTTAGAGTCTCACATTCAATGAGTCATCTTTTTCCGAAATTGCTGAAAGAATCAGGATCAGGATCTGGAATGCATAGCAGATGAAGAATAGGCAGGAATAGGCCAGATTAGAATTGTTGCCCTATGAAAAAAAAAAGAGATAATGAGCCTTTTATCCAAATTAAATCTAAACAGCCCATATATGTCAATGCTTGTGATTAAAGCCTATTATTAAATCCCCCAAATATAATTCTACTCTGGAGTACAGGTTACTTTTGCCCTTTACTTTGACTTAGAAGTTGCCCAGCAATTTCTCCCCATGTCACCCTCTCTTTCCTCCTTACCTTTAAAAGTGTCCGGATCAGAGTCTGAAATTGGAACGTGCCACAGATTATTGACAGAATCCAGAATAGGGCCAGGTACCATGAGTCCTTCTGTACACACCATCGTCTGCTGTGTTGGATCAGCAAAACCAGGAGCTAGAGAGAAATTCATATCAAGTTCTGAAAAATATTGTCACTAAACAAGGACAAGAGGCAAGAAGTGTGTCAGAGAACAGAGGAGGAAAGAAGGACTGAAGGAGGAGATTGCTGTAACTAATCTGGCCAGGCAGAAAGTACACAAATGCCGAATTGTAGATTTCCTCCCTGCTACTATCCAACCTGCTCTTTCAGGTCCTCAGTGCTCTCCCTGGGACACCCATCCCTGCCCCATCTCTGTTCACCACACTTGGGTGGGGAGTTAGCCAAGAATGCAGAGGGTCACCATCTGCATTTTAATGGAGTTGCTTTGGGAGGCAGAAAAACCTTTTCAAGAGCCAAGGAAATTAATTTCTGGCATTGCGGTAGTCAGGTCGGGGAGCCAGACTCTGCTGGTTAGGTGCAAGGAGTCTGTATCACAATTTTCTAATACAGACTAAGCAATTAACAAAAAAAATTGCCTTGTAACATCTCACTTAGATATAATTAATAAAACATTAGTTTTCTAGAGCCAGCACTGTGCTGGTAAACCAAAATTTGGAACAAAAAAGCCATGACTTGTAATCTTTGTCAATCTCCATTCGGTAAATGTTCCCACTATGGTGGATTTCAAGCTCCAACATGATGTCACTAAACACAGGGTTGGGAAGAGATGCACACAATCAGCTCTGTAAGCTGGCTCTGGCACCCACTGCCTAGAAAATTCTTTGTTTTCTAACAACTGTAACATACAATAATGCCTACAGGTGCCAGGCAGACCATGTAACTGTGTGAAGTGAGGATGGGGGACTGTACTGAGCACATGCCTGGTCTAATGGGGGCAATGCTACTCAGTCCTGGCTGATCACCGCCCTGTGGGAATGTAGGCCCATAGATGCCAGACATTCTGATTTTTCAAGAAAGTTTGGAAATCCAAATGATTATGTGGCAACTTCCTCTATTAAAATGATGGCATCTAACTCAATTGTCTTTCTTTAACACTGTACAGGTCTCCTCCACACCCCCAAAAACATGGCTGCAGGAGAGACATCAGTTTCTGTCATCAAATTTACACAAATAACTCTAGACTTAGCAATCCATTGATTAGAGTCACCAGTCAACTTAAAAATAATATTGACAGCATTTAGAAAATTTTTTTAAATCAAGAAACTTGGATTTCATGTATGATCCTTAGATGGCAAGATATGCAGGAAAAAGACACAGATTTCAGTCATTAAAGCTAGTCACTTACTCTAGGGAGAATGCTCTACAAACTAGTGCTCAAAAGAGGATAAAAAGCTAATATTTGTTTTACCCCATTACATCTAAGCTTTGCTCACCATGGGTCCCTTGAAAAAGGTAGATGAAATTGGACTTAATTTCATTCCAAAAGAGCAAATTTCAGCTAGATAACTACACACAGAGAGAAAATAAACAGGATGAAAGTGGTGATGGGTCTTACCCATGTGCCCAGGTAGAGGCTTGGATTGGTATATCTGATGGCAGGGACTGTAGCTTGTCCAGAGTCTTCTGTGAGTACAAGGATCAGCTCTATGGCTGCTAGAACAAAAAGAAGCCCAACAAGTGCCTAAGAAGGGGAAAAGACCACTGTTAGGAGGATATCAGTCTTTAGAACAGAATGGTTCCCAGTAATGAATGGTAAAAATGGTATGCAGTAATTCAGGTAATACATTCAATGAATATTTCTGGAATCAATGGATACATATAGTTCAAGCAATGGAATAAAGTTCAAAGTATGCTATGATAAATGTTTTTAAGGAATGGTGAGTGTGATGGTTTTAAAATATGTCTACAAATTCTTTGATATTCCTTCCTTCAAAAAATAAAGTTTAGTTCCCCTCTTTCCTTGAGTATGGCCTGAACTCAATGACTCCCATCTAACGAATAGAATACGGCAGAAGTTTCAGTGCGAGACTTCCAAGAATAGGTAACAGAAGCAATGTGGTCTCCTCCTTGTTCTCTTTCTCAGATCACTCACTGCAGGGACAGCTACAGGCCCCATCATGAAGACACTCAAGGAGCTCTATGGAGAGGTCCACTTGGTAAGGAACTGAGACCTCCTGCCAACAGCCATGTGCGTAAGTCATCTTAAAAGCAGATCCTCTGGCCACAGTCAAGCCATTAAATGACCTTAGTCCCAGTCAGCATATTAATTACAACCTCATGAGAAACCCTGAAGTAGAACCCAGGTAAGCTGCTGCCAAATTCCTGACCCACAGAAACTGTAAGATAAAAAAATATTTATTTTTCAGGTGCTAAGTTTTGGGGTAATTTGTTACACAACAATAGATTACGAATACAATAGATTTAAAAGGGGAATTTCCCATCCCAACTGGGGTGGCACTATTCCCTTTCCTTGGTCATTAGTCCTAGACTTTTGCCCACATAACCTTTGAAGTTAGTGTTGCAATGACTGCAACTATGTCATGCTAGGATGACTCCAAACCAGTCAATATTTGTCCTATGAGCTCATAAGACGTGATATACATTGCATTGTTCTGAAGGAACATGCCCTACCTATCAGGATGGAAAACTACTACCTCTGTTGAGCAGGTCCACCAAGATCTTTAGTACCATCTCTCATCTCCCTCACTCACATCCATTTCTACTCCCAACCATCTATCCATACTCATTTCTATCATTCACCTAGAATGGCTTAGGCAGAGATATTGGGCCCTTTGTAATGAAAACTAGCCAAGGAGGAAGATGAATGCACCTTTAACTAATAGGACCAGTGCTATTATTTAGCAAGGCTTAGAGTCAAAGACATGTTGATAAGGGGATACATTTTTCTCAAGTATATAATTCACTATACTGTGCTTTCATCACATGAGACTGTGAGGTTTTTATGTAAAAAATAATAGCTTCTGAAGTGATAAGTTATGTTTGCCTTTAGGTAAATTAGGAGACAAAATAGAGCAAGGTAGAGCTAAAGCACCCACCCTTGAGTATAACTAGGTAAAGGGAAATACTAACCAGCAGACCACTCCCCAGGCCAAGGCAAAGGAGAGAGCCATGCCACAGGCTTACATATATTAAACTCTTACAAAATGACTAGAAATACACTGAGAAATCCATATCAAAAAGGACTAATTTATGTTATAAGGAACTCCTACAAAGCAATTTAAAAAAACAAACAACCCAGGGCCGGCTCAGTGGCACAGCAGTTAAATTCGCATGTTCCACTTTGTCACCCAGGGGCTTGCCGGTTCAGATCCTGGGTGTGGACCTATGCACTGCTTGTCAAGCCATGCTGTGGCAGGTGTCCCACATATAAAGTAGAGGAAGATGGGAACAGATGTTACCTCAGGGCCAATCTTCCTCAGCAAACAGAGGAGGATTGGCAGATGTTTGCTCAGGGCTAATCCTCCTCCTCCTCAAAAAAAAAAAGATACTTTAAGGCCAGCCTCGGTGGCTAGTGGTTAAATTTGGCATGCTCTGCTTTGGCAGCCTGGGTTCCGTTTCCAGGTGCGAACCTACACCACTCATCTGTCAGTGGCCATGCTGTGACGGCACTTGCATACAAAAAGAGGAAAATTGGCAACAGATGTTAGTTCAGGGCGAATCTTCTTCAGCAAAAATAATCCCACCAATAAAAAATACTTCAAATTAAAAGAAGGGAATGAAATGCTGATTCATGCTACAACATGGATAAACCTTGAAAACCTTATGCTAAGTGAAATAAGTCAGACACTAAAGGATACATATTGTATAATTCCATGTATACAAAATGTCCTGAATAGGCAAATTCTTTGAGACAGAAAGTAGATTAGTAGTTTCCAGGGACTAGGGAAGAGAGAGGAAGGGAATGGGGTAATACTGTTTAATAGGTATGGGGTTTCTTTTTGGAGTGATGAAAATATTCTGGAATAAGACAGTGGTGATGGTCACACAATTCTGTGAATATACTAAAACCACTGAATTATACACTTTAAATGGGTGAATCATATGTGAATTATATCTCAATAACGCTGTTTTGGTTTTTAAAAGTGATACAAAGGGGCATCTGGTTTCTTTATCTGCCTCTGGATAGTGACTTGAAGGGATGATGCCTGGAACTACTGCAGCCATGCTGCAATCACGTGCTACCTTGACAGACTGGTTGACATGCTGAGGTTATCAGAAAATAATCAGCTACTTGTTGATGTCATTGTACTGCTAAATTAACAAATCCTAGAGCTGTACAAACTCTGGACTTCTTGTTATATAAGATCATAAATTCCTTGCTGTTTAAGCCAACAAGTGTGGCTTGCAGGGAAGAGCGTCTTAGCTGATATAAATCTATTCTTTGTAGTCAGCCCTGACAGAAGGTAAGGATGGGAAACATGACAGAAATCAATCTTAATTGAAGTTTTGTGTACAGAACTAGTACAGTTATGCCAGTCACTTCCTTCTCTCCCCTACCTCTAACCCAAGATTGCAAATCCACTGGCAACAACTGTTTACCACCATCAAGCCTAACCAGGCCAACACAGAAGTACTCTGAAGAAATTGAATGTTTTCCTTGAGGAAGGGCTGAGCAGATAGTGTGGGCATTGGTGCCCCAGAGTAAACTCTTCTTCATTTAGCATACAGCAGGGGTGGAGAGATACAGCCCAGGTGCCTGCTCTTGGGGGAAGCCAGTAAGTCCAAACAGTCATCCAGTGCTCACAGGCAGTGTTCCCATCTAAAAGAAGCCAGCTGGGGAAGCAGACTTATCCAATGGCAGAGGGACCTACCTCAGCCACATGTTAATTAACTTATTATTATAAGTCATATGACTTATTAACCAATTGTTAGTTTTATTATTAAATATTAATAATTAATCAGATATTTGATATATTATTAATTAAATAATTAATGATAATTAACTTATTGTTATATAACATTATTATGTTATATTAAAAGTTATAACTATTATAAATGCAACACAGTACATTAATTAACCACCGGAAAGTTGAGAAAAACCAATACCAGCAAAGAAGATAGCCAAGATAATTAAAGAGAACAACTGATTCTGGCATGAAACAAACAGAAATTATTAAGTGAACAGAAGAGAACTTTAAATTATTTTAAAATTAATGTCCTAAGAGAAACTTGAGAAGATATTGCATCCACTAATAGGTTGTTTTTTTTAAAATATAATCAGAAATTAAGAATAATTCTTAGATATTAAACCCATGATTGCTAAAATGCAGGCTCTTTAGGACAACTGGAAGAAAAAATTGGGGAAATCTCTCAGAACATAGGAGAAAAGAGAAAAGGAAATTTTAGAAAGAGAGCGAGAGAGACTGAGAAGGAGGATAAATTCAGAGTCTAACATCTATCTAAAAAAAATTCTAGAAAGATGGAATTTCAAAATTGGAGGAAAGTAAATGAAAGGAGAAAATATAAGAAAATTTCTCAGAGATGAGAAAGACATAAATGAGTCTTTAGGCTGAAATGTAGAACCCACTGAATGAAAAAAAACCTGTGTAAACAGACTCTCATGAAATTTCAGGACATCATAAATAAAGAGGATAGAGCCAGCCGTGGTGGCCTAGTGGTTAAGTTTGGTGTGCTCCACTTGGGTGGCCCGGGTTTGGTTCTGGGTAGAACCACACAACTCGTCTGTCAGTAGCCATGCTGTGGTGGTGGTTCACATAGAAGAACCAGAAGAACTTACAACTATATACAACTATGTACTTGGACTTTGACAGGGGGTAGTGGGGGGGTAAGGAGGAAGATTGGCAACAGATGTTAGCTTAGGGTGACTCTTCCCCTGGGAAAAAAAAATACACCTATCTCTTCTTCAGAAAAAAAAAACGAAGAAAGAGGATAAAAGCTTCTAGAGAGGATAATGAGGAATGAGAAGAATTCTAACTCAGCAGCACAGGATGTTGGGGAACAATATAGCAACATCTTGAGAGCTAGAAAAAGAATTTTTTTGAACCTAGCATTCCAAATTCAGATGAACATTTTCAGAAAGCAAAAGCTTAGAGACTTTATTTACTGTTGCTCCCTTGAAAATTTTATTTGAAAATGTTCTCCAGATCCAAGAAATTTAGGGGCACTAATTCTCTCATCTTACACTAAGGGGTATCAAGATGCAGAGTCTAAAACTGATGGCAGATTATTTTTAGGTATAAAGATAACCAACAGAACTGAAAATAATCATACAAAATTAAAAGACTGAAAGAAGAAGAGGGAAAAAGGAAGCTAGGGGATAGAGTCAATGAGCTAAATTCCTTGTTTTTTATAGAGGGCAGAAATAGATCTTTTCTGAAGTTGACAGATCAAGAAATACAAGTATAAACACATTATTTGCAGATATGGAGGTAACCATCAAAATAATTTTAAATGGAGTCCTCTAGAGAATGGGACTGGGAGGTAAAGGGGTGAGAAAGAGATTTTCTTTTCATTTTGCATTTTCTTGTTCAGTTGTGTTTTTTTTGCAAAGAGTGGAAGGAAACATACCAAAATGTTAACTGGAGTATATCAGAGTGGTACAATAATCCATGGATTTAATTTTCTTTTTATTTCCCTAGAGTCTCCAAACTTTCGACAATAATCATGCATTATTTTTATAATCAGAAACAGATAACACACTATTATTAATTAGGATCAGGGAAATATTGTGGTTGTTTAATGATTACCAAGTCCTTAATAGTCTTTGCCCTTGATCTTTGATTTATTGGCGGAGCTTCAAATGCACGTGGAGTTTACTAAACTCGACTTCCTAAGGAGACACAGTCTCATTGGTATTAAAAAAGAAAGAAGAGTGGTTTGGCTATATTTACTATCTCTCCATCGGCAAGGTCCTCCTTTCCCCAGCGCTTTGTGAATGACAAGGCACTCTGGTTGAACCTTCTGCTCATTACACAGAGGATCCACTTCCACCACTTCCCTGGCAGCCAAATGTCTAACTTCAGTTTCAATATTTTATATCCTGGAGGACTATACCCTCCAGCAGCCCATTCTATTATCAGACCGTTATTATCACTAGAAAGTTCTTTTGTATACTTAGTCAAAGTTGGCTTCCCTGGAACAACCTCCACCCACTTAATCTTGATCCTGCTCTCGGAAACTTTTCAGAACAAGCTAGGCAATCTTCTATATTATACTTCCACAAATACTTGAGGGTGGTTCCCACGTCTCACAGGCTCAACACCAAGCCCACTTTTGCTGCACATCTTGCTCTGATCTCAGTACTTCCACAACCTCCAGAACCAAATTCCTCCTTTGTTCCCCTGGGACTAAATATGAGCCCATTGATTCATTTTTAAACTCAATTCCTTCAATTACCTACTGTGTGCAGGGTCCTTTCAGTAAGAATGCACCTTTAAACCAACAAAGAAACTTGTCGAGTCTATCCCCAGCTCGGTCAAGCAAACTGGCTTAGTTCATATGAGACGATCACCACTCTAATGACCAAACAAGAACAGCAATAACGACGGTTCAGGAGAGGCAGAGAGGAACGGACAGCCCGAAGACAGGTAGAAGAGGAAGTGGAGAAATAAAACCCAGGGGAGGAGTGAGCCTAGCAGAAGGCTCTCATAGAAGAAGTAACGTTTCACTTTGGTTGGGAATTATACTTCTGACTGTTTCAGAGAAGAAACCTGTTATTTTGAAATTTTTAAGAGGAAGCTAATCTGCACCTGTCACCCTCAGGGTGGAGGACAAAAAAGTAAAGTATAAATTACAAATGCAGCTCCTGAGCAAGGGTGAGTGGATTATTACCTACAGAAAAAGAAAAAAAAAAAACAAAAGCTAATACATTCCTTTTTTCTTTCTTTGTTTTTTTTTAGGAAGCTTAGCCCTGAGCTAACATCTGCAGCCAATCCTCCTCTTTTTGCTGAGGAAGATCAGCCCTGAGCTAACATCTGTGCCCATCTTCCTCTATTTTATATGTGGGACACTTGCTACAGCATGGCTTGATAAGCGGTGTGCAGGTCCCTGCCCAGGATCTGAACTGGTGAACCCTGAGCCACCGAAGCAGAGCACCCAAACTTAACTGTATGCCACCAGGCTGGCCCCACCTTTTCTTTTTCTCTGTAGAGATTTGTGTTTATAAACATTAAACAAAATGTGATATATCCATATAATGGAATACTATTCAGCCATAAAAAGGAATGAAGTACATGCCAGAACATGAATGAATCTTGAAAACCTTATGCTAAGTGAAAGAAACCAATCATAAAAGACCACATATTATTATATGATTCCATTCACATGAAATGTCCAGAATAGGGAAATTATAGAGACAGAAAGTAGATTAGCAGTTGCTTAGTGCTAAGGGGCATGGGGAGATAGGAGGTTTCTTTTTGAGGGAACTAAAATGTTCTAAACGTGACTATGGTGATGGTTGCACATAACCTGTGAATATACTAAAAAAATAGAATTGTATTTAAACGAGTGAATTGGGTGAATTATATACCTCAATAAAGCTATTTTTTAAAAGTTAATTAGTAGCTAGGATTAGGATGGGATACAACATGCTCTTAACTCAGCTTTTACTCCTAGAGTGGATTTAATACCAACATTCAACAAATTCATACTGAGCACTAGGCCCTGTGCTGGGTCAATAAGGGAGACAGTGACCCTGCCCCAGGCTCTTAGAGACTGTTCTTTTCCTATCCGGAGTCTGACAAAACCCATCACCAGTCCCCACCTCGAAGTGTCAAGACAAATCGCACTTCCTTTGGCCAAGTTCCTTCCTTCCTTTTAGATTCCAGGAAACCTGAGGTCATGAGTATGTACCCTCATGGAACACCGAATCTAATTTGCCTTTCTGAAACTGTTTAAAGAGCAGAACGGATAGAAGAAAAAAAAAAAACCTATTGAAAAGAAGCAGATAGTGGATTTTATGCGGTAGCTTTACAACTTCAAGTGAAGGTCTTTCAGTTCCCACCAGACCGTCTCTGCATTAGTCAGTGGGGCTGGCTGAGGGGCTCCTCCCCTCCATCCTGCTGGGCTCTCTGCTACAGCCCCTGTCCTTTCCATTATTTTCCTACTAAGGCCTGTCACTGTGAGCACTCACCCTACCTCACTCTACTGTGAGTGATGGTCCAGACTCAATGGAAGACTTTGGGAAACTGGAAGCCTTACTTCAGATCCAAGTTTTGGGAGATGAGCGATGGTTGGATTGCCTGAATGGTGCAGAGAGGACATTTTATAGTCACCTAATGATAGCGGCCAATCGAATTACAGTCTCCTGATTCATTAGGACAACTTCAAGGCAGGTAATCCAGGGGCCGGCCCTGTGGCCAACTGGTTAAGTTTGCACGCTGGACTGCAGGCGGCCCAGTGTTTCGTCAGTTCGAATCCTGGGTGCGGACATGGCACCAGTCATTGAGCTACGCTGAGGTGGCATCCCACATGCCACAACTAGAAGGATCCACAACTAAGAATATACAACTGTGGACCAGGGGACTTTGGGGAGAAAAAAGGAAAAAAATTAAAAAAATAAAATCTTAAAAAAAAAAAGTGTTTCCTTCTCAAATACTGAAAATACTCAAATACTGAAAAGACAATAACCATCTGACTGATTACTTATCATGTGTTTAGGGAGTCCAATATAAATAAGATTTAAGAGTCATTACACTGATGCATAAATCAAAGTCACCTTAACTAAGAAATATGGCAAGGGGCCAGTGAGGCATAAGGCAGGTGGAGAGAGGGAGACCCAGAGTATGGTACTCCCTGAGACAGCACTACCTGGGAGAGCTGGTGTAAGACAGGGAAGAAGACACTGTAACCACCAAGAAAATGTCTCCATTGTGCACCAAAGAATTAGTTAGAAAATAACGGAGTTCCATACCTGCTTAGCAAGGTAGAGTTTGGTTATAGGCCATCTCTTGGTCCTGGATCTAAATACACGGAAAAGCTGCCAAGGAGCCAGGAGCCAAAGGAAGCCCAAGGGAATCCAAACAAGAACAGTTTGCTCAAAACAAAGTGGCAAGTCTGCCTCCGGGCTATCCAGGAATGAGGAATTCTGGGGGACGGAAATGGACAGATTGTTGGATACATGCATTTTTGAAGACAGACCAGCCCCTGGTCCATTCCCCCACCACTATCCGTGCTTCCAAACAATTTTAACTCAGTTTTATATCCATATGCAGCCTGACTCTTTAACTAGCTGTATTTTCCTATTTCCTATTAATCTCCATTGATATGAATTCACCATTTAATGACATTTAGTGACTTTTCTGGACAACCTAACCTCTAAAAATCTTTCTTTCTATGATTCTAAGCTTATTTCTCCACCAGCTATTCTAAGTAAACTTCACCACTGCATTTGCCAAGTTGTGGGAAGAAGAGAGGCTGTTCCTCAATCCAAAGGGGAGAATAGTTCCCTGGGATATAAACACTTGCTCTTCTTATTCTGTTTTTTTAGCACTGATTGAACTCACTGGCAGACTTTCAAACACGCAGGCAGCAGAATGCCTAGTCATACTATGGCATTTAGCTTCCTCTGGCCCCAACGACTTATGTTGGAACCTGAGGGAGCCTTGTCACAGGAGAAGTGATGGCGCTGTGGGACAGAAGTCTTATTCCCAGCAAGTTTTGTGCTAGTCTCTGCATTTTGCAATAAATTAGAAATGCCTTGTGAGGTGATGGCAGGGCGCATCATGCGAAGGTAGACCTTTCTCTTCTTATAAGTATTTTTTAGTTGTTTTGTACAGCTGTTTGCACAGATTCTTTAAAGAAAAGATTGGGGTGCCCTGACCAAGATGATCTGTCAGATAATTCTCAGAGAGAATTCTCAAAAGATGGCCTGTCAAGATCCAAGCACCACCCTACTGTAAGTATTCTTGTCCTGGCCTCGAGGGCCTTGGGGCCCAGGTTCTTTCTAAGATGGGAAGTGCTGCTCACAGGCTCTGCTATCTCATTCCTGCTCTTCTCATCTGCCATAAAGTTATCTAACTTTAGAATTCAGAAGAATTACCTAAGATATTTAAACTAGTTTAACAAGCACTCCAGGTGATTCTGATGCTGATGATAGGCATTTGCAAACGAAAGTTTCTCAAAATCTCTAAATCCAAGGTCCTTTCTCATTCTCTATTCCACTAAACCATTTGGTTCTGTTGCTCAAACTGTCTGTCTTGAAATACTCTGCTCTGGTTCAAAAATTATCTCAGTGCTCATGATGCCCAAACTTGCATCCCTGGCTTCAACTTCTAGTCCATATCACTATTTCCTAGTTATTCTAGAACATATCGTTATCATTTCAACATCAATATATCTCAACAAGGCACAATCATGCACCTTCTCTTCTTCCTCCTACCCCACAAACAACACAACAACAATTCTCCCTCTTAATCTTGATAAAATTGGAAGCCTTTTTCCTATTTCTCTTTAGAGAAGGCAATTTTGCAGCTACCTGGTCTGAGAAAAGAGTCTGGGATACAATAAACATATGTTAGAGAATAAGTATATTACCTCTCCCACATAGAATATACTCTGGAGATATTATGACTTGTTTTCTAAGAAAACGTAAGCTTTAGATCAACTGTACATCTAACTTTTCTGGTTCTTATTGGTCGCCACTCTAGGCTAATCTACTATTTGTTCTGAGTCTGAGAAGTGTCAACACTGAGATTAAGTGAAATTTCTCACCCAAAAAGTAGAATCGCAGAACTTCTCCACCATGATTCCTGAAGCACTTCCAGAATGAAGACTCTTGTATGACTGTATTGTTTCTTATATACTTTTTTTCCTCAGAGAAGGTGGAAGGTGAGGAGCAATGCACTTTCTCCCATTCTGATGTTCTGATGTTCCAACTAAAGGCAAGTCTCCTGACCTTTCATCCCAACAATTTAATCGTTAACCTTGCTTAGACATATATTGATATTACCCAGTGCATAGGCACGTGACTGAGGAGCCCCAAGGACAGGTACTCACCAGTTCCCAAAGTACCAGAAACCTCTGTGGGTGTGGTCAGATCTAAAAGGAACCACTGAAAGATGTCAGCAGAGCTGACAAATCAGGAAGTGGAGGAGCTCTTCCTTCTCCTGAGGACACATAGCCTAAAAAGAGAAGCATCAATGGAGGTGCATGCTCCCCTAAATGTGCAGTTTCACTTTTGTTTTAAGGCCTCAGAGTTTATAGAAGTGTGCAATATGCTCCTTCTCTGGATTTTAAAATTAAGAACATAGATCTTAAAATACTGTTAAAAATAGTGTAAACTTTGTTTGAGATAGTCAGGCTACATATATATATACATAATTTATGCAGCCAATTGTTAACCTTAGCTGTTAGGATTGTGGGTGATTTTTATTTTCCCTTTTTGTTTGTCTGTATTTTCCGATTTTTCCATAATTATCAGGTATTATTTATGTAGTAATATTTTTAAAGCAAATTTTTGTATTATGGCAAAAAAATGCATGATGTAAAATTTGCCATCCTAACCATTTCTAAGTGTACAGTTCTGTTGTGTTAAGTATATTCACACTGTTGTGCAAGCAATCTCCAGAACTTTATCTTGCAAAACTGAAACTCTATACCCATCAAACAACCCCTATATCCCCTTCCCCTAGTAAAGCAAATGTTCTTTTAAAATCAGGGCACCCTAAATTAACAGCACCCAAACATGCTTGCCAACATATTAAAGTGCAAACACATCATTTGGAGGATCATGTGGAACCATTTTCGTCATCAACACCAAAAAACCACTTCTTTGTTCTGTGGGTATAAACAGACTGTATCTACAGAGATTAATTAACAAGAGAGTAATGTAAACTTTAATGTATATATACGTACATATATATTTTAATGTATACTCTAATTCCTGTCCTAAGGTTAACTATACCTGTGGTTACCTTAAATTCACAAATGGTAAAAACGTTTACCATTAGTATCAGTGGATATGTTCTGGATTATTAACATCTGAAAGATGTATAAATTTGATTAGGACATTCATTCAGTTATCTTCTTCTGAGAAGTTAACAATGAGATGGGCTTCCACATTTCTCTATGTGCCTGTAACAGTGTTCAAATGATTTAGGCCTTGGGATGAGATCAGATCCAGGGTCAGATAAAGGCACGACATCAGTATAGTGGCTTGGTACAGACTTCTGACCATACCAACAGAATGAAGCTGGAGAGATGACATAATCATAGATTTTTAGAAATCCATCAGTGAGGACGCAAAGAAACCTAAATGAATCAAGCCATGGGTTGGTTTGGCCCGTGGACCAAATCCAGCTGAACCATGTTTTTGTCTGGCTAAGAATAGTTTTTACATTTTTAACTATAGAATGTGAAAAAGACTACTCAGCATGAATAGTCTTTCAATAAGAACTGCTCGATTTTGCCTCTTGGCCCACAAAGTCCCAAATATTTACTATTTGACCCTTTAAAGTTTGCCAACCCCTGAACTAAACTCCAGAAATGACAAGACCTCTGTAAGAAGAGAACCACAACAGCTCTCATCTCTGCCTGAAACAGAGTGAGGAGGAAAAATCTACCACAAATGGGGTTCAGAAGAAATCAGCCTAACTTCTAACAAACTTTTCCAGGCCATGTGTGGGGCTGGCATAACAGATTAGAATCTGGAAGAGCTCCAGAAAGAGTCAGACTGCACTACCCCCAAGTCTTTACTACACTAGTCTTCATCAAATGCTGGGAATAGTGTTACAGAAAGGGAAGGGGCAGTTAGTTAGAAGAGCTGAGAGAAGACCCCTAGGCACGCTAAACTTTCACCTTTGGAAGACTAGGGCAGAAGCAGAGGAGCTGAGAGAAACCCCTTCAATGCCATTCTACCTTCATAGAGAGTAAGGTAGCCCCAGTCATCCCTGAAATGGCCAAAGGAGACAGCAGGCCGCAGGGCTGAATGAGATCTCCCAGGGAAATAGAAAGCAGGGGGCAGGGCTGAGGGCAAAGAGATCACAACAACCCAGAGGCTTTACCAAGATTTTCCCACCTGATTCCTACCTTCAGGGCCTAGGGAAATATGCAGCCTGAAGGTGTACTTTTTTCCGACTTGGATCCCATAGTTCCACAGCTCACCTTTCCTGGCTCTTCTGGTGAGTGGTATAGATAGTGATTGAGCTTTTGGGCTCTCATAAGCCAAGTTGTTTTTCAGATTTGCATTTATCCCATTTTTCTTCCCTTCTGGTATCAGTGATGTGGGATTTTGGTTGTCTGATCAACTACTGGTGGTGATTGTTTTGTCAGGTGGCATTCAACAAGAATCCATTCTGTGGCAAGTGGCAGACAACAGGAAATCTGGGTTTGTTAGCTTTGTTTGTTTGTTTTTGTCTGTTTGTCATGAGGATTCTGGCATTTCCTAGCATTTATACTGTAAATTTGAGAAGTTGTTATTATCATGTGCTTCTAATCAGAGAAAGAACACGCTGTGCATATTTGTTTTGTATGTGCACCAGTGTGGGTTTCTATAATTCTAAGGATCAGAGGCTTCTTCCTCCCTCTAAACCTCTAGCTTTTTTCATGCTTACCCATTAGTTGTCAGTGTCTACAAAATGGAATTCCTGTACCAGGGATGATAAAAATATATAGTAGGCCTCTATAGGAACTTTTGACTTTAATAAAGGACAATATCTAAGGAGAGCCTTAAAACAGAAAGGAACAAAATCCCTAACATACAAGGATCAGCTTTCTTTGATTTGCATACTAGCGCCTCTAAATGAATACAGAATTCTAAGTTCATGTCCCTTCAGGACTCTTCAAATAAGGCTAAAGAAACAGAAGAAACTATGTTATCAAAATTTAGGCAATTAAAAAATTTTTAGGGGCCAGCCTGGTGGTGTAGGTGATTGAGTTCATGTGCTCCACTTTGGCAGCCCAGGGTTGTTGGGTTTGGATCCCAGTTGTGGACCTACACACCACTCTTCAAGCCATGCTGTGGCAGCATCCCACATACAAAATGGAGGGAGATTGGCACAGATGTTAGTTCAGGGACAATCTTCCTCACCAGGAAAAAAAATTTTTTTAGATGAGGACTCAGTCATATAACTCAAGATTTTAAGTTGCCAAACTCCAAGCAAGTTTTGCTCTCTTAAAAAATTGATTGAAAACCAACCAACCCCAGTATTGCAATTTCCTGCCAGATTCAAAAGGGAATCATGAAATGACTCAGATCCATTGTAATGATATTCCCCCAGTGAACCCAAACATATCTTTCTGTTCATTGAACTCAGTGGTTCTCAGACTTTTTGGTTTTGGGACCCCTTTTACACTCTTAAAAACTTATGAGGATCCGAAAGAGTTTTTGTTTATGTAGATTATAGTGACCAATATTTACCATATTAGAAATTAAAGCTGAGAAATTTAAAAACATGTATTTATTAGTTTGTTTAACACAGGGGGTGAAGGGGAGCACTTACATGGTGACGGACAAGAAATAATGCACAACTGAAATTTCACAATGATATAAACTATTACGAACTCAAAAAAAAAGTTAAAAAATAATAACATTTCATGTTAACATAAATAACATACTTTTATGAAAAATAACTACCTTTTCCAAAGCAATTGAAAAGAGTAGCATTTTTTTACATTTTTGAAAATCTCTTTTAATGTCTGGCCCAATAGAAGACATCTGGATTCTTACGTCTGTTTCTTCATTCAATCTGTTGTGATATCATACAATATGTAGTCTCTGGAAAACTCCACTGTATACTTGCTAAAGAATGAGAGTTTAAAAAGGCAAATAACATCCTAGTGTTAGTATGAAAATAGTTTTAGGTTTAAATAGTTTTGACTTTACAGATCCCCTGAGTGTCTCATAACCCCTAGAGATCCCCAGGCCACACCTTGAGAACCACTGCTTTTAATAATCTTAAATTCTTAATAGATAAAAGTTCTTCTATTTCCACCTTAAATCTGGCTATTTTACCAGAAACAGTTCTTCTCGTTTGCTGGAGGAGTTGACAAAATTTTTTTCATTATCTGAATATGAAACATTTTCTGAGCAAGCAAATTGATAAACCTTGTCTGTCTCCAGAGGAAAGTAATAATCTGTATTAGTTACCTATGATTGTATAAGAACCAATCCACGTTTAAACCAAGATCCTTATTATCTCTCACAGTTTCTGTGTGCCAGCAGTTCAGCCACAGAGGGAATGGCTTGTCTCTGCTCTACACTGTTTGGGGTCTTAGCAGGCAGACTTGAGACAGGGGCTGAAATCATCTGAAGGATCATTACTCATATGTCTGGCAATTAATGACGGTGTTGGGTGGTTGCTTGCTAGGGCTGTTGGCAGAACACTCACACACGGCCTTTCCACGTGCCCTGGGTTTCTTTACAACATAGCACCTGAGTTCCAAGGGCAAGAAAGTTAGCCTGGTGGAAGCTGTAAATTTGTCATGGTCTAGTCTCAAAAGTCACATACCTTCACTTCTGCCCTATTCTATTTGTTAGAAGTGCATCACTAAGCCTGACTCACATTCAAGAAATTAGATACCATCTTGAAGAGATGTACGTCAAATAATTTGTGGACCTATTTAAAACTACCAGATAATGTCTCTTAAAATTTAATGGAGTCCCTTTTCTGATTGACTAATGAGACTAATAAGTGTTTATGTAATTTTAAGTAAGAGAAATTCAAAGATTTATTCAAATAACTCTGCCATCATAAAAGAGAAATACATTAACTATCTCAAAATTGTCTCATTCGGCTTGTTGTTGCCCAAAACAATCTCCAGATTTTTTTGATAGTAGGGGGAGGGAGTTACAGAAAAATTGCACAGAAAGTATAGAGAGTTTCCATATACCCTCAACCCCTCCCACTCACACAGTTTCTCCTATCATTATCTTGCATTAGTGTAATACATTTGCTACAATTGATGAACAAACATGAACGATCTAAATATGCCAATTAAAAGACAGAGATTGTTAATGTGGGCCAAAAACAAGACCCAACTATATGATGTCTACAAGAAACTCACTTTAAATATAAAGACACATAGAGATTAAAAGTAAATGGATGGACGGGGCTGGCCCCGTGGCCGAGTGGTTAAGTTCGCGCGCTCCGCTGCAGGCGGCCCAGTGTTTCGTCGGTTCCAATCCTGGGCGCGGACATGGCACTGCTCGTCAGACCACGCTGAGGCAGCGTCCCACATGCCACAACTAGAGGAACCCACAACGAAGAATACACAACTATGTACCGGGGGGCTTTGGGGAGAAAAAGGAAAAAATAAAATCTTTAAAAAAAAAAAAAAAATGAGTCTTTAAAAAAAAAAAAAAAAGTAAATGGATGGATAAAGATGTACCACACTAACATTAATCAAGAGAAAGTGGGAATAGCTGTATTAATTTCAGAACAGACTTCAGACCAAGGAAAGTTATCAGGGATAAAGAGAAACATTACATAATGATAAACGGAGTCAATTCTTCACGAAAACATAACCATTCTTTTTTTTTTCCTTTTTTTAAAGATTGGCACCTGAGCTAATAACTATTACCAACCTTTTTTTTTTTCTCCTGCTTTTTCTCCCCAAATCTCCCCAGTACATAGTTGTATATTTTAGTTGTGGGTCCTTCTAGTTGTGGCATGTGGGATGCCACCTCAGCATGGCCTAATGAGTGGTGCCATGTCTGCAGCCAGGATCCGAACTGGCGAAACCCTGGGCTGCGAAAGCAAAGCGCATGAACTTAACCACTCAGCCATGGGGTCAGGCCTACTATTTTTTTTTTTTTAAAGATTGGCACCTGAGCTAACATCTGTTACAAATCTTTTTTTTATCTTCTTCTTCTTCCCCAAAGCCCCCCAGTACATAGTTGTAATATTCTAGTTGTAGGTCCTTTTGGTTGTGCTATGTGGGACGCCGCCTTAGCATGGCTTGATGAGCAGTGCCATGTCCACGCCCAGAATCCAAACTGATGAAACCCTTGGCCACTGAAGTGGAGTGCGCAAACTTAACCACTCAGCCACAGGGCCCACCCCAAAACATAACCATTATTAATATGTATGTGCTTAACAGAGCATCAAAATACGTGAGGCGAAAACTGACAGAGCTGCAAGGAGAAATGGATGAATCTACTATTAAAGCTGTATACTTCAACACCCCTCTATCAGAAATGGACAGATCCAGCAGGCAGAAAATAGGTAAGGACATAGCTGAACTCAACAATCCCATCAATCAACTGCATATAGTAGACAGCTATAGACCGCTTCATCCAACAACAGCAGAATACACATTCTTCTCAAGCTCACATGAGACATTTACCAAGATATATCACATTCTGGACCATAAACACATCTTAAAAAACTTCAAAAAATAGGGTCTGGCCCAGTGGCACAGTGGTTAAGTGCGCACGTTCCACTTCAGCTGCCCGGGGTTCACCAATTCAGATCCCAGGTGCAGACACCGCTTGGCAAGCCATGCTGTGGCAGGCATCCCATATATAAAGTAGAGGAAGATGGGCATGGATGTTAGCTCACGGCCAGTCTTCCTCAGCAAAAAGAGGAGGATTGGCAGCAGATGTTAGCTCAGGGCTAATCTTCCTCAAAAAAAAAAAAAAAACCACAAAAAACAAAAACAAAAACAAATTTCAAAAAACAGGAATCATACAACATCTGCTCTCAGATCACAACAGAACTAAACCAGAAACTAATAACAGAAAGATAGCTGGAAAATCCAAAAATACTTAGAGATTAAACAACACTATTCTAAACAACCCATAGGTCAAAGAAGACATTTCAAGAGAAATTTTTAAATATTTTGAACTGAATGAAAATGAAAACACAAATTATCAAAATTTGTGGGATGTAGCAAAAGCAGTGCTTAGAGAAAAATTTATAGCATTGAATGCATACATTAGAAAGGAAGAAAGATCCAAAATCAATCATCTTAAGTTTCCCCCTTAGGAAACTAGAAAAAGAAGAGCAAATTAAGTTCAAAGTAAGCAGAAGAAAAGAAATAATAAAAATTAGAGTAGAAATCAATGAAATTGAAAACAGGAAACTAATAGAGAAAATCAATGAAATCGAAAGCTTGTTCATAGAAAAGATAAAGAAAGTAGGTAAGTCTCTGGGCAGGCTAATTAAGATAAAATGAGAGAGGAAACAAACTACTAATATCACAAACAAAAGGGGACATCACTACAGATCTCATGGACAAGAAAAGCAAATAAAAATTATACTGATTGAGAAGGAAGATATAAAACTCTGTTTGTTCTCAGGTGACATGATTGTCTGATGAAAGAAATCAAAGAAGAACTAAATAAATATTCCATGTTCATAGATTACAAGACTCAATATTGTCAAGATGTCAGTTCTTCTGAACTTCATCTATAGATTTAATGCAATCCCGGTCAAAATTCCAACAAGCTATTTTATGCATATTGACAAACTGATTCTAAAGTTTATATGGAGAAGCAAAAGACACAGAATAGCCAACACAATATTGAAGGAGAAGAACCAACTTGGAGGACTAACACTACCCAACTTCAAGACTTACTATAAAGCTACAATAATCAAGACAGTGTGGTATTGATGAAAGGATAGACAAATAGATCAGTGGAACAGACAGAGAGCCCAGAAATAGATCCATATAAATAGAGCTAACTAATCTTTGACAAAGGAACAAATGCAACACAATGGAGAAAAGACAGTCATTTTAATAAATGGTGTTGGAACAACTGGAAATCCACATGCAAAAAAATGAATCTAGACACAGACCTTATACCCTTCACAAAAATTAACTCAAAATGGATCATAGACCTAAATGTAAAACACAAAACTACAAAACTTCTAGAAAATAACAGGG